GACGACATACAGGAAACCCACCCCGGGCTGGGTTCTCAGTGTGACTTTGGGGCGTGGGGACCTAGGGCAGAGCAGGGGACGTAGCGGGTGGCGACGCAAGGCAGTCCAGGCACTCGGGGCAGCGCTCGGACTTCTCCCGCAGCAGAAGCCGCTGAGCGACGTCCGGCTGAGCGACAGCGAGGTCACCAACATTTCTGAAACCACTTGCCAGTCGCCTCAGTGGCGGCGGCTGGGGGTCCTTTCCAAGTGCACGAACGGTGCCACTGTGTGGTCTTGCCTCTCCGGCCCGTCCTCGCGCCTCTCCGCGTCCCCACCCCACCCCCGATCAATTACCAGCCACCCTTCTGCCGGGAGCGGTGAGAGGGCTGGCTGGCGGCCGCGAGGACAAGGCAGCCCAGATCACTTCTGCATGACAATTGATGGGAGGGAGGGCGCTAGGCGAGGAGGGAGGACGGCCGCGGTGTCCGTTTTCTCACCATGGTGATTAGGCATTCCGGCCGTGCGAGAAGGCAGCCGCCGAACAGCGGCGCGGTGCGGAGAGAGGGCAGGGGAAAGAGAGCGAGAGCGAGCCCAGGCGCCCGGCGAACGGCGCGCCGAGCCAAGCCAGGCCAGATGGCTCTGCAGCCATCAGGGACCGCTCCGGTCCAACCCGGCCCCACTTTAGCTGTGCAAACATTTCTTTATCCCAACAAGACAATTAAACCCAGCAGCATGAAAAGAGTCTCCGTGACTGTGTTGGGAGCGAACAACCAGAAACAACCACACACATCACAGGAGTTCTTGCCCCCGGGGAGAGGGGGAGGAGAAAAAGGCTGCAGGAGAACTCGGAGCAGCTGAGGAAGAATCAGACCAGATCTGAGCAGTCAGGGCAGAGGGTCCCCTCTGACTCTTCTCTCTGGTGATTTGCTGACCCTTCATTCACACTGGTCATTTATCTGCTCCAGCTGCAATTCAGAAGTAGAGCCTGGTGACCTGGAAATTGTCCCAAACATTCTCCCCTTCCTAGACTCATGTCCCTGTCCACTCCAGTCCTAGAGCCCTTGGAAAGTACACACACACACACACACACACACACACACACACACTATCCTGGTGATATAGGCTGGCCCTCATTTTAGGCTATCCTTTACTTAGATAAGCCATAGGGTCTTCAGTGACACATGCCTTTACAAAGACACATCTCAGAGTGCAAAATACCATACTCAGGGCTTTGGAGACCTGGAGAGAATTTGCTCTCAAAGATGAGAGCAAAGCAAAACATCTAGGAGCTGCTTGGAGCCACCAGTCTTCCTGCCTACCTGTAATCTGCCTGAGCACAGGGAAGAGCCCAGGAAAGAAAACCAAGCAAAGCCACTATTGTCAGTGTCCATTGCCCATCTCTGGGGTGAGCTAGAGGGCAGGGCCAGTCACAGCTCCAGATGGACAGTCCTGAGCCCTCTCAGCCCTGGGGGTGAGCATGCACACTAACCAATTCCAACTTGGGCTGAATGAGTAGACAGACAGGCTGGCCAAATAGTGTCACCCAGGCAGAAATCTGGGCACAGAACAGCATAAAGAGAATCATCAGGAGATGCACATGACAAGCCAGAGTGCTGAGGGGGAAATAAATGTATGGATTCTAGCACAAGGCATCAGACAGTACTTACCGTCCTTTTTGTTGTAAAGTTTTCTTAATGAGGAATGTTTATTTTAAAGGCCCTGGGAAACTTCATATGTAAGACACAACATGGGCTACTTGTAATTGGTCTATAAATTTTAGCATTATTTCCCTGGACAAGGAGCCTTGGGGACTGGTTTAGGGAGTGACAATAAACCGGAGTTACCTTAGTCCCCCCTTCTTGGGGAATTATGCATCCTCCACGAACAGCTTCTCACAAAACACTTCTCCTGTTTTCCAGGGAAAATTAGTCACTCCTGTAGAGCAAAGGCCCCCTTGTTCCAGAGTACAACATCTACCTTGGAATCACTTGTGATGCCAGGTTGGTGGACAGGCAAGCAAACTGGAAGTTCTACTAGGAGAGAGGATACTTTACCCAAAAAGCTATAATTCTGTCTTCAAAACAATGCATGTTTAATCATAAAAGAAATCCTGCCTGTAAGCACCCAGATTTAAGAAATGAACATGTGTGAATTACACCAGGTCTGCAGGCCCCACTTTCAAAGACGTAGACATATCCGCATATGGATGCAGTGTGTGGGCAGAGGGTAGCTGTAACAGTAAAAACTGTCAGTGTTTCCATTATAAAACTGATTTTTTCAATGACCTAAAACTCAGTCATAAAAGTTCAACTCCGAATAAAGGACACACACTCCTCCCATACTCACCCTCCACACATTCATACCCCAACAAAACTGTCAAGCTAAATGCCTATCTAGGAGTTTTTCTATCATATTTAATTAAAACATCTTTTACATTTTATGAAAAAAATTATTTCTAGGAAGACAACTGAAAAATGAGTCAACCATATCAAATTAATTCTAAAATTTAATAACCCTAAATATGCCGGCGCCAGTGGCTCACACCTGTAATCCTAGCTACTCAGGAGGCAGAGATCAGGATGATTACAGTTCAAAGCCAGCCCAGGCAAATATTTCAAGAGACCCCATCTCGAAAATACCTAATGCAAACAGGGCTGGTGGAGTGGCTCAAGGTGTAAGCCCTGCATTCAAGCCCTGGTACCACAAAAACAAAACAAAACAAAACAAAAAACCCTGAAATATACATGGCTTGGTTTGGCAATCTGGGCAAAAGAACTATAACCTGTTCCTTGGCTCTTTTGAATACCTGCTCTCCTCTGTTTCGACTCCCCACCCTGTTCATTGCCCCATCTGCCCTAAGCTCTCTCTCCCTTTGGAAGCAGTCTGGTATACTGTCACTCGATTATCTGAGAAACATTACTTATTTCAAAACGGTTCTGTAGGGAGGACCTGAAAGGCATCTAGTGGGAATAATCAGGCCTTCTAACGGCCCTTAAATATGTATTTACATAAAACAGACCATAAATATTCTGACACATGTCAGCATATGACAAGAGCCAAGAAAGCTGCTACTGACTTTGTCATAGTGCTTCTTCAACCATTCCCTGCAGAAAATGTTTCTGCCTTCCAAAAACTCAAAATCAAAAGCATAGATGTTGCACAGTCTAACCTTTTGAAGGCTGCTACAACTACTAAAGGCAAGGAAAGGAGAAAGGAACACAAATCCAGGGCTACCACAGGGTGATAGGCTCTTTCACTTGGCACCTTTGTTTCTGGCTAAAAATTATTCATAAATGCAACACTGGCTAATAATGTGTATATGTAGAAACATCCTGCATTCCCAAGCCCTCCTATAGCTTTGATGTCTGTGTTTAAGAAAAAGGAGAACACAGAGTACTCCATAAAGGAAGAATATTTTAAACAAAAGGGAAAAGGACTCCAATTTATATAACATGACAATTTGAAATAAAGAAGTTTCCCCACCCTTCTGATCAGAATCCCATTAATTTCAAGGTCAGAATTCCATTTCACTTTGGGAGACAGCCTCATTTAATTTTTCTCCACCCAGGCGTATTCCTGTGTGAGGGATCCATCTCCATGGGGGATGGCACCACCACACAATGCAAACCAGGCAAACAGAAGAGTTATGGCTTTGACACTCGGAGGGGAATGGATATCCACATCTATGAGTTCTGACTTGACTAACAAGCTCCCGCCTGCTCTGGGAGTCTGATACAGGTTTGAGCTAAAAAGATAGCAAAATGGAGACAAGCTGGATTTGTTCAGTGAGAAGAAAGGAATCCTGATCTCCAGATGTTACTTTGTAGTATATTAGTTTTAAGAGGATTTCATTTTCAACTTGTACTTGGAGGAAAAGGGCACAGAATTGGTCACATCCTAACCCAGGGCAGTTTTAGCCAGAGGTCAGTTTACATCTAGACTTTTGCATCACTCGACATAAAATAAAACAAAAAAAAACCCAGTCCAACATAATGCCAACACCTGTCCAGCAGGTATATCCAAGAAGCAGGATCATAAACCCATGCCAATCAACAGAAAGCAAAAAGGTGACAGAAGAGCAAGAGCCGAAGTGCAAAGTGCCAGAGCCACATAAGCATTTGTGCTATCATACAGCAGCCTTCTCCCTTAAGTGGGAAGGTCTCCAGCTTACAGACGCTGACATAAGAGACACACTTGCAACATATTTCAAAACCAAAGAGCGATGGATTTACAAGGCAGGTTGATTTTATGATGACTTTTATTGAAAAGGTACGCTGGGTTTAGGCAGATGCCTTTTAGCGCAAGAAAGTTAACACAGTGCCTAATTCAAGGAGACAGCCTGAGGAAGCAGTGCCGACAGGGGAGAGAGCTGCAATGTCTCTATTACTCTCCTCGGCATCATAAAGAGAAAAGAAAAAAATGGTATTCATGTTGGTGGTTATAGAGAGGATGGGAGCACAAAAAATAGAGAAGAGGGGAAAGCAAATCTCAGATGTAGTTTTCTTAAGAAAATAAAATGGAACAAATCTTAGAACAAAGGGTTGGAAAAACACCCTCAGTTCATAAATTCTCACCAGGCTTGAAGAAAACTGCTCTGTCTACCCACAGCTCAAAAGCTTCAAAACACAATTATTTTCCGGTAAGAGCGTAAGATTGCAAGGTTCAGCACTTGCAGTCTACAAGTTCCATATGAAGGTTTTGTTCCAATGAGTGTAGCCAGAACCCAACAAGATACTTGGAGAACATAAGAAAAGTTATTTCATAAGCAGAAATTAACAACAGTTGTGAATATCAACTATGGAGCAGTCACACAAGTCAACTATGGAGCATTCACACAAGTCAACCATGTCTAGTCCTATAAGTGAGCCTGGAATAAGTGTCCAGCAAACCTGTCAAATCCCAAGAGAAGTAGGCTTTCCAAGAAGTCTTGGGATCACAAGGAAAACACAGCTGTTTGAAATGCTTTATGGTGACTGACAACACCTTTCTCCTTCTCTGAAAAATAGCCTGATGTGGACAAGGGCTAAGAGTTGTGAAAATAAAATCACGTGGAGTCTGCTGGCCGTGATACAATGGAAAAGCTGAAAAGTAATACCATGATCAGGGAAACAGAATGAGGACAGCAAAGAGAGGAGGGTTGACAATTTCCTCAGGCTCCCCTAATTCCCTAGGAACCTACATTTTCTAATGAAATAACCTTCACTTCAGTGTATATATGGCACCCTCTTTCTTCCACAGTCCCCAGAGAAGAAGCCAGCCATGGCAAGGAGAGAAGGGTTGTGTGGAGACCAACTTGCCTCTGACTATGTTCAGAAAAACCACTTTCTACAAAAACTATCAGTGCTCATTGATGAGAGACAAGTAACCATCAGCAATCCACTGCTATCGCAAGGGAAACAGTTGGCCCTCCCATCATTAGGAGCATGTACAATGTCACGGACCTGTTGAACATTACTGGGAGACAGGGTTTACTGGGGTTGAGGGAGGGCTCCAACCAAAGTACTCACATCTGTCATTCCGATCCTCTGGGCTAGATGAGGCTTCCCGGTCAGAAATGAGGCCAGAGACAGCAAAAATCTTCTTCCCAGTGTCATCAACCTTAAGTGAGCCAGGGGAGCTAGATGGCAGCTGTGTCCCAAAGTCATATTCCTTGCCATCTGCATCTGAGAAGCGCAGGTGAGGAGACTCTGTGTCATGGCAGTTCTTAAGTCGCTTGGCTGGTGTAAAGGCTGACTGGTAGCTCTCCCGGTCTTCAGTGGATGCAAAGGGACGGAAAGCCCCCACACCACTGTGATTCAGCATACTGATTGGGGTGCAATCTAGATTTGGGGGAGCAAACTGAGGGTGGAGGTGTAGTAAAGAAGGGGGGAAATCACGATTGGCAAAAGTGCCTGGTACCCCACCTTGCCGATGGTACATAGAGGCAAAGGTGTAGGAACCATTGGTGAATGGAATATGCACGTCCTTGTCTACTGAGACAGGTACACCAAAGGGTCGTGGCTGCTGACAAGGGATAGAAGCATCCCGGCTGGCCTCAGCCGTGGATGCTAGGACCATGAGTGCTGGGGATGCCAGAGGGTTGGGAAGGTAGGATGAGTTTTCCATCTTGAATGCTGCCCGGTGTAAGTCCATCGGAGTCTCTTTCGATGGCCGGCGTCACACAAGAAGCAGTCTTCCCTGGGAGGGAGGCCAAGTGGCACCTTGGATCAGAGCAGGATATATTACTGGGGAATCATGCCCTCCTAAGACCTGTGGAAACAGCAAAGAGAAAAAAAAGGGGGGGGAAGGAAAGTCAGAGGGAGGAAAAAAAGGGAAACCCAAGTGATAGCAACACCATCCTTCTGGCTTACAGATGCTCAGGCAAGAGACACCACAGGCTTTAGGAGCCAGTGGGCAGCAGCAGCAGACCATTTTCATTCAGGAAAATCAATAGACAACTTACTGTGATGTACGCGTTGCTGACTTTGGTCCCTACACGTTCCGGGTGAAATGCGCCTGAGCCCAGCAAAGAAAAAAATCATAAAACCTCCAAATACAATATTCCCTGAGCAAATGAGCTTTGGAAGGCCAAGTCACCCAGTAGATTAGGTGGGAGGTCTATATTTTAAAGGGCTTCCACCTGCATACACTACTCATGGCAGGTCTGATGTTCAGAGGCCAGGGTCTACCTATCAGATTCTCCATATTTGCATCCTCTCTTCATATTCCCTAACAATGCTCCGAAACTAAAAAAAACAAAAACAAAAACAAAAACCTGTATCACATGCATCTGGACCAGGAGCATGTGCACATGTTGGTCTGAATTGTACATGTGGCTAAATCATAAGTGTTGACACATACATCTTCATGTCTCATCTGAGACAGTTTCCAGAAAGAAGTGCTATGTGAATAGCAGCTACATTATTTTTGATGCATACCCCTCTCTAATCTCACAGGCTACCTAGTTCTCTTTTCTGAGAAGGAACAAAACCTTCATCAATAAAATGCCTGGCGCCTCTGACACTATTTAAAAACATCATGGGTGCCTTTGGCATATACTCTCTGGAAGCGTCTCTCTTCTAGGGGCAGCAAAGAATGGATCGGTAATTTTAGTTACTAATGCACTCACTCTTAAGTAAATTTGTAAACTGCCTTGGATTTGCCATTAACATTTAGAGCAAAATGTTAACAAAATTTCTGACTTATTTTGTTCTGCTTATTGGCCCAGTCAGAGTTGATGTCCAATAAAGGCCGCCAGAACAAACTGGAGTTCTGAGAAACTTCTTTCTGCTCCCCTTGTAAATTTAAGTTGTACATTTTCATAGCTACTGATTCAGTTTCAAAATTTATATTGAGTAGTGGGTAGAGTGGAAGGCTATATATCAAAAACCAAGATAATATAAGATGAATACTGGGACTTACTAGCTTCAAATCTATACACTCAATAGAAACTGAATGAAACCCAAAATGTAACCAAAACCCACCATCTGCTACAAATTCAAACCTGTAAATTGAGAGTGGTATCAGAAATAAAAGTGACCCCTCCCTTTAAAAGCCCACCTCCTTAATGAAGTATCTTTGGTATTCCCTCAAACAGAACCCTCAGTTAAACTGCAGATGAATCCTTCATGCTTAATGCAGTGCAAAGAGAGTATTTCCTTCTCCCATCCTGTAGCAGACGTGTCAATGACTATTATTAATTGGGAAGATGAGTGGACACCATCAGACTGCTTCCTCATTTGGCATCTTTCCTTATAGACATCATTGCTAAATTACCAGATTATGTATCTCACATTAACGGATTTTTCTCTCTCCAAATTTTAAATAACTTTCCTGTCAAGTTATAGCAGTGCAGGGAATGATCTGCCAAGGACAGACAGTTAGCCTGACAAGTCTGGGAATCCTGTTTTGGCTGTTTTAGAGTCAGATTAATGGTCACACAACATGGATGCTCTGAAAGTGGGCCTAGGGCTGTTCCAAAGGTTCTTCACAATGGAAATAAATAACTACGTGCCCATTGACAAGCCATCTTACATGAGGTCAGCTGAAGAAAAGGACAAACATAATACACTGGGGGAAGGAGAGGAATGTTTCTCCCCTAAAATAACTCCCCCCAGGATTCACTCTATTTTTACTTCCTAGATCACCTCATGATGTTAAATGAGTTTCATAAATTAGTAATCTGGCGACAGCACCGGACACTCAACAGAACACGGTGAATCACTCAAACCTACTTATTCATTTGAAAACTTCATTATCCTGAAAATAAATCAACAATATTTTTCCAGGCCATATCTCTTTTACTCCAATATGTGGGTTTGGTCTCTGTGGAGGAGGAGGGGTGCTTCTACCTTTCTCCTTTTTTTCTTCCCCCTCCTCACATTAACAACTTGTACAGATGAGGCTACAGCAGACCACAGTCATTATGAAAATCTATAGTTAATACACTCCCAATGTCAAAATGTCATGGGTTTAAACACAGAACCCAAAACAAGAAAACTAACTGACCCTCTTAATTAAAAAAATATGGATTGTAAGATAATCAGCTTGATGGAGCATTTGGGTGACTCTAAAGAACCGGGCAAAGGGAAAGTAAGTAACTGTTACTTTTCTGCCTCTATGCTGATTTTTTTTAATTTAGCACTTCGTGCAAATCCAGATTAAAATAACTCCAGCTATTGATCTGAGCAGTGGAATTGACATTAATTTTAGTTCACTTCTCACTTTGCAAAGGGATCAATAGGAAGTAATAACAGCTGACATCCCCGCTGAAAGGAGGAGAAAGAAGGGCTGAAGACAGAAATCGAAAAGCAACCAAATAAATCATCAGCTACTTTTCCACGGCATCAGACAAACTCCAAACAGATTGCAAAAAGTCTTTGTTGAATTAACTAAACAAGGAGGAGGGATCAATCCACGAAGCTAAATAAATTGTCTGGCAGGCAGTGGGGTTGGACAGAGGGACCAACAAATATTGAGTTTTAAAATTTTCAGATCCTTGACGTGATGGCTTTGGTTCAGTTCTCTGTGTCAGGGAGTTTGTTTGTTTCTTAAATCACACACCCGACCCTGGTTTGAAGTGATTACAAAACGCCAGCTAACTGAATAATTAGTGAGATTACTAATTGCGTGGTTAAACATGCCAGACCCAAGACAAATGAAATGAAGAAGCCGACGTTTGGAACGTGAAAATGTCTGAGGCTGGGCTTAATGCACAGCGGTCTGCCCTCTGCGATGCAAACTAGCCACTTTCCAACGGAAAACCCGAAACCTAGGGAGAAAGTCCCAGAGAGTGGGCTATCTCTCACTCCTGTCCAGGGTCTGGGCCTTCTCACTCGCGCCCCGGATCGTTGTGGAACGAAGCGGCGTTGCTGCTGCTGCTGCTGCTGCTGCTGCGGCTTGCTGTTGGGAGCCAAACCCACTTGGAAATGACTGCCACAAAGCAAAGCTGCAAAGGGCTCTTTCCTGGAGCCGAGCTCAAGGCGCCCACCAAACTACGACTCTGCTGGCAATTAAAATGCACACACAACACTCCTCTACTTATTACAACAGGTGACATTTTTGTGGTCTCTGAACCGTTTCCAAAAGCCAAGACTTAAAATACTAGAACAAAGTAAACGATATTTTTTCTTTGCATAAATAAACTTTTTTAAAAAAATTAACAGGCAACTTAAAAAGCAAAGAACAATGGAAAAGGAGACCAGAGTAGCGGGGTAGGGGGTGGTGAAGGGGGGAAGGGTTGGGAAGACCTGAGGATTTTTTTTTTTTAAGTTCACAGACTTTGCTTGAAGAGAATTCCCGCACACCAAATGCCCAGGAGGTATTTGGGAACACCACCCTAGCAGAAATTTTACCACCATATGTGAGAGCTCAAGGAGCATGAGGCTAATACGGCCCAGGTAAGGGCCGACGCCTGCGGTTCAGCCATGGCCGATTACCAGTCCCATATTTGGACCCGAACACAGGTCCTCCTTCTCTTAACCACCGATTGCAAATCCGCGACTGCCGGGCGGATCCGAGAGCGCGGGGCTGCGGGGCTGTCCGCTGAGCGAGCGGGTGCAGAATTCAGCCAGGAAGAGTCTCAATCCAGAAAAGCCCAACTCTTAGGAAAAGCGAGGGCGGGGGAAGAAGAGGTGAAGGCGAAAGCTACATAAACTTGGGGACTATGCTGAACCGAGCACACCACTCCTTGGTCTGACTTCTCTCTCTCCGGCTCTCGGTTGCCTTTGTGCAAAGAATATTTTAGATCCCAACAACCTCCAGCTAACGAAACAATTTGCTTTAACTTTGGGGAACCAAGGCGCCGGTCCGGGAAAAACCAACAAGCTCGAGGGGCCCGGGCCCGGAGCCTCGCAGGGCTTGGGGTAGAGGCTGCAAAACAGGCTGCCTTCGACCAAAGTCCAAGGACTTCGAGCCCCCTGAACAGCCCCGCCCCGAGGGTCACCGGGTCCCGTTGCCGCGCGCCACCGCTTCAGCTAGGAGCCACGGACTCCTCCACTCCGCTCTCCTGCAAATGCAGGCGAGAGCTGGGCTGCTGGGCCCTCCCGGTGCCCGGCCTCTGGACGTGGGGTGCGGAAGGAAGTGTTCTGCCGCCCGCGCAGACATTGCCTGGCGGCAACACTCGGCGCGGTTCGCAGAACAGGTGTGTGTCCCCGCTCGCTCCGCGCTCGGCCCTGGCTCGGTTGGTCATCGGCGTCGCGGCGCCGCCCTGTCCTCGATCTTCCCCCACCTCGCCCAGGAGCGCAGTGAGAGAACTCACGCCACTTTTATCGGGTCTCTGTCGGCCAGGAGAGATCCGAAAGGCAGATGCCCGCAGCGCTTTTCCTCGACGCTCTTTCTGCTTTTTCCCCTTTGCGGAAAGAACTGGGGAGACCGAAAGAGGAGGAGGCCAGGCGAAAGCAGGACCCCTGTCCACTCTGTTCGCTCCCAGCCTTACTCGCTGCTTCCTCACTGCCTGCCCTTATTTGTCTATTTTTCCTTTCTCTACCCATTGCCTCTCCCAAGCCGAGTCCGGAGCGGAGCCGAGAGGCAAGACGTGGCTTCTGAGCATCGTGGGCGGACAAGCACCGGTATTTTCCCTCTCCCGAGGCAGGGAGGAGGAGCAGGCGGGAGAACCCCGGACTACTCAGGCCAGACAGGGCTGCGCCCCATCCCGATGGCCACGGCCCTATGCACCCTCGAGGTCCGACGGGCATCCGGCTCCGGGCCCAGGCCCAGGGCCTCGGCTGGAGCTGACGCTAGGACCCCAAGAAA